CCAGATTGGGGTAGGGTGCAAATTGGAAACTACCCTGTACTTTGGTCCTGTAAGTCGGTATGGGTGGATCTGGGCTGGGCCTGACCTCCTGCATTAGTCTGTTGGTCAGAAGGAGTGGTCCTGTGCTGGAGGCTGGGCCCTGATGGGTGTCTGCAGGTGGAGGGTTGGACCGGGGCCTACTGTGAGCCTGGGTCCCATGCTAGCACATCTCTTATTTGTATACTTTTTATCTCTTTCTCTTGTCTAGTTGCTGTGGCTAAAATTCAAGCACTATTTTGAATAGCAGTAGTGAGAGTGGACATCCATATTTTGTTCCTGACTTTAAAGGAAATGTTTTCAGTTTTTCCGCATTCAGTATGATATTGGCTTTGGGTTTGTCATATATAGCCTTTATCATGCTAAAGTAAGTTCTTTCTATCCTTAGTTTCTTCAGTGTTTTTAACACAATTGGATGTTGAGTTTTGTGGAAGGATTTTTCTGCATTAAAATGATCATGTGACTTTTGTTCTTGGTTCTAATTATGTGGGATATTTATTTGCATACATCAAACCATCCTTGCAACTCTGGAATTAAAGCAGCTTGATCATGATGTATAATCTCTGAAATGTGTTGTTGAGTTGAATTTGATAATGTTATTAAGGACTTTTGCATCAGTGTTCCATCAAGGGTGTAGGTTTGTAGTTTTCTTTCTGTTAGGTCCCTAGGCCAAAGTAACTCCATTTTGAAAATCAGCACCTGCCCACCTAGGCATTACCTTCCGGTAAGGCCCACCCAGAAAGAGTCCCTAACAACAGAAACCACAGCAAAGACATCAAGTAACAATCACAGGACCAGACGGGTTATTGTTAAACTACTCCATTATATTTGACTATATAGTTAAGAAGTTTTTCCAGAAACCTGCTGTGCCTTGCAAAAGGGCAGCCTGGCAGATATTCTCTGTCAATAAACCTTTGTTTGAACTCAGAGATGTGTCTCTTTTGGACTTTGTGCCACTTATCGTAATACTTTTCTTGAGGAATCCTTAGCTAGTTTTGGTATTGAAGTGATATTGGCTTCATAGAGTAAATTTGGAAGAGTTCCCTTTTCTATTTCATGGAATAATTTGATTCTAGATTTTCCAATTTATTGGAATGTTTTCAAAATAGTCCCTACTATTCCTCTGTATTTCAGTGATGTCTGTGGTAATATCTCCTTTTTATATGTCCAATTTTATTAATTTGGGTCTTTCCTTTGATAAAGGAGATTGATAGTTTGGCTAAAGGTTTATCTTTTTAAAGAACCAACTCTTCATTGTTCCTTTTTATTTTTTATTTGCTATTTCATTAATTACAGCTTTGATCTTTATTCATTCTTTTACTGGTTTGGGATTGGTTTATTATTTTTCAGCAACTTGAGATGCGTTATTAGGTTATTTATTTGGGATATTTTTGACTTTTTTTTCATGTGGGCATTCATACCTGTAAATTTTCCTCTTAGAACTGCCTCACTGTGTCAGAGATTCTGGTATGTTGTGTTTCTATTCTTGGGTGAGCAAATTTTTAAATTCTCCCTGATTTCTTTGACATATTCATTCAAAAGTATATTGTTCCATTTCCATGTGTTTACATAGTTTTTTTAATTGTTGTTAATTTTTAATTTCATTCCATTATGATCTTATAAGATGCAAGGAATTATAAATTTTTTCATACTTGCTAAGATTTTCTTCATGATATAAAATATGATCTTTTTTGGAGAAAGTTTCATGAGCAGATGAAAAGTGTGTTCATTCTGTAGATGTCTGTTAAGTCATCTAGGTGATTCAGACAAAATAGTAATCTATTGGTAAGAGAAGTATATTGAAATCACCTAGTATTATTGTATTGGAATTTTTATGAGCTTTTATGTTAAATAGTATTTGTTTTCATGTAGTTAGATGCACAGATATTTAGGAGTATAAATATTAAATACCATTTTATCTTTTTTAATTCTCTTCAGTATGTAGTGACTTTCTTTGTTTCATCTAGTTTTGGCTTGAAGTTTGTTTGTTGGATAAGAGTGTTACTCATGCTTGCTTTTGAGCTTCAGTTGTATGTAATATGATTTTCATCCTTTCACTTTTAGCATATAATATCTTTGCTTCTGAGATGTGTTTCTTATAGGCAACATATAGTTGGGTCTTATTTTTAATCCATTCTGCCTATCTTTTAATTGGAGAACTGAGACCATTTACATTTAGTGTAATTATAGAGAGATATTTATTACTTCTTGAAGTTTTTATCTATTTCTAATGTTTGATCCTAGTTATCACTTGCTTATGGGATTTATTCTTTCCTGAACTCTATTGGTTGTTTTTTATTTTCTTTTACATGTAGGATTCCTTTACGTATACTCTGCAATGCTGACTGAGTAGTTATGCATTCCTTTAGTTTATGCTTATCTTGGAAGGTTTTCATTTTCTCACCAATTTCAAAGGATCTTGTTTGGCAATTATTTTCTTTCAGGGATTGAAGTATGTCACTCCAATCCCTCTTGAACTTCAGGATTTCTGTTGAGAAATGTGCTATTATTCTGATTGGTATTCCCCTGAATCTAACCTGGCACTTCTCTCTCATAGCTTTTAAATTTTTTTCCTTGATATGGATTTTTGGCATTTTAATTATAATGTGTCATGGAGAGATTCTTTTCTGGTCTTGTCTACTTGAGGAACTAAATTAAAAATATGGAACACTTCACAAATTTGCATGTCATCCTTGTGCAGGGGCCATGCTAATCTTCTCTGTCATTCCAATTTTAGTACATGTGCTGCCAAAGACAGCATGAAAATGTCTTTTTAAAGCTAATCTTTGAAATACATGGATTTTTTACATCAAAAGTGTCTTAATATTCTGGTATAGCGAAGTGATAAGTCATACTCATACCCTGCCTCTGTGGAAACTTGTCAACTGATTCCTTCATGGATTTCTCTAACTCATCTTAATCAACTTTATTTGCATCCAGGGTTCTACTCCCCATTGAAGGGGGCATCTAAGTATCCAAATCCAATGAAAAGGGAAGTTTGCCAAAAGAGAGAAGGCAGTTGGAGAGAGAGACAAAATCCAAGAGTGATGTAGACGACAATTTTACTGACAGTTGCCTGGCACCAGGCTAGCTGACATTGTTGAGTAGTACCCCGAAGACATTGAGAACTGATGCAACATTGAACCATTGCCTATGTAGCTTCCCAGCCATTAGCTACTGTTAAAATTAGTTCTCAAACTTGAGCATACACCAAAATCACCTGGAAGATTTTCTGATTAAGTCTTATGTGGAGCCTGAAAATATGTATTTCTAACAATCTCACCAATTATATTATTCCACGCTTTGGGAAAACTCATGTTCTCATCTTGCTAACTCCACATGAGTTTTTTTTTTTTTTGCCCATGTGGGTCTCTTAATATATTGTAGGGACTAAATTCACTTTGCACTTATGTATTGGAATTTTCTTGTTTTAAAATCAGAAACTCTTTCAACTTCGGCCACTTACTTTCTATGATTCAGTATGGCTCTTTTTTCAATTGACACATGTCCCATTGTTGGGTTGGGGATAAGACCCTAAGGACATAAGAGATGAAACTGGATTACAGAAAAGTGAAAAGAGGATGGAGCAGTTCATCAATTGATACCTTGAGCTATTTATTATCTCATTATTGGAAAAATTTCAGGCTTTGTTGCCTAAGAATGTGTATATTGCTATGATACATGCTTTTTACATGGTATTCTTTACAAAAACTCAAGGATATTTGACTCTGCACATAAAATTTAACTAGAAAATGAGGTCTACATTGTCATCTGTACCATGGTTTTAAAATTATTTTACTGTAAAGTGAATACTATCTCCTATATGGAAAACTACAGGAGTAACTTTAAGAACTAAGTTCTGGAATAGGGATGTAGCTCAATGGTATAGTGTATGCCTCGCATGTGCAAGACCCAGGATTTGATCCTCAGCAAACCCCACTACACCCACAAGAAATAAAAGCAAAATAAGTTTCTTCACTACCAAGTAATAATTTAGAGGGGTGACTTTGAAAATAAAGTTTAATCCTTCCATTAGAGTGCATGATAGATAATAACGATGATAATGGCTTCCATTATGAAAGCATTACCATCTGCAAGTTACTTGCCAAGCACTTTATTGGAGTCAGCTCCCTTAATAAAGGCATCTTGAAATTCATGACTGAGTCAAACTTGTCATGCAGGGAATCAAAATGAGCATGGTTATGACTAGAGAAAAGATGCCTACATATATTAAGAAATATCTCCTTTGAATAAAGTGTGATGAAAGTTGATTTCAATAACTTTACTTTTCCTAAAGACAGTTTTGAAACAATGGAAAAATTAATCTCCAAGCACAAGCAATAATATGTTTCTGGCAATTAAGGGGTTTTTTTCCTCAGATATTTCTTCAGCTGGAGATCTTGATACGGCCAATTAATGGATGTTGTTGAAGATTTTTGTGTGTCTTTTTGAAATCTATCAAAAAAGTGTGCCAACCTCAAGTTTACAGTTAAAATAACTTTCACAAAATAGATGCCCATATCACCAGCACTCAGATAAGATATCAAAATATCACCACCACCTACCAGTCCTCCTATTGCTCCTCTTTATAGTTACTCTCCTAGAAATAATCAGTGCCCTGATTTCTGACACCATAGGGGAGTTTTGCCTATCTTGGAACTGATAATATTGTTGTGAAATTAAAATATTTTAATTTTTTTATTTTTCCTTAAGACTAAAAATAGTCTTTGGTGATATTTAATAAGGGCTCCAGTTTTATGGACAAAAGGAGGAGACAAGATATGCAATACCTCAGGTAGATCAGGAGTAGTGGAGTAGTTTGTGTGGCAGGGAGACCATACTGAGTACCTAGGAAGGGTTGGGTATTACCTGGCTAAAATGAGCAGTACCTGTTGATAGGACTGAATGGGTTTAGACCAAAATACAAAAGTGTGTTTTCACATTAACTTTTGCTCTTTCTCCAGAAAAGGAAATCCACGCTCTTGGACTGTTGTTGCTGGGGACCATGATAGAACCCTAAAGGAATCAACTGAGCAGGTGGGTAGTTATTTTTTAAAGGTCATTCCATCCACCTTCTAAAGGATATCATGTGCCATCAAAAACCTTTAGCTAAAATATGATTATTTATGAATGTTCTAGTGCCCCTTTACACTTATAATGTATACCTGTTTTTAAAGGTGCATTTTGAGATGAAATTTTAATTTGAGAATTGGGTGAGGCAGGTCAGGAAGCACAGATCCGGGTTGATTGATTGTGCACAGGTCTGCATAGTTTTGTTTATCCAGGATCATCAATCCTCAGAATGTGGTTCATTGCCTCCCATAAATTATAAACCAAGATTACCCTTTTGGACTTAGTTGAAAATCATTTTCATTGCTGATGTATAGACATGAAGAGATTCAAGATTTGTTTGGGACCATTATGCAAGGAAGTAGCTTGACTCTTTGATTTTCTTATCTTGTAATTGCTTACCTGCCCTTGATACAGGTGAGAAGGGCCAAACACATCATAGTGCATGAAGACTTTGATATAGTAACCTATGACTCTGATATTGCTCTAATACAATTGAGCTCTCCTCTGGAATACAACTCAGTGGTGAGACCAGTATGTCTCCCACATAGCAGGGAACCTCTGTTTTCCTCTGAGATCTGTACTGTGACTGGATGGGGAAGCACTAGTGAAGGTGGGTACTTAACATCTAGCAGCACTATTTATGAGAGTGTAATTTTTAAAAATATGTTATGCAAATATCAAGCAGTATTTGCTTTAGCCTCTCTTCCTTCTGAAAGGAAATAATGTTTTACTTACTTGTAATAGCTCAGTAAGTGATTAGAGAATGAGCAGTCTTAAATTTTTCCTTCTGAGTTATTTAAATAGATTAGATCAGGGGTCAGACCTCTGCAAAGGGCCAGATAATAAGTCTTTTAGGCTCTGCAGGCCATATGGTCTCTGTCAGGACTACTCAATTCTACCAGTGTAAAGTTAAACAGCTGAAGACAATACATGACACATTAGGAATGGCCATGTTCCAACAGCACTTCATTTATGAAATTTAAAACATAGTATGCATATATGATTAAGAGTATTTTTTAGATTTTTTTCCAACCATCTAAAAATGTGAAAAATATTCTTAATTCATGGATTTATATAAAATATGCCCAGGGTCTGTTGGTATATAACCCAGAATTGATCCTTGGTTGTGTATGCTGACCCTTAGGCTAGATTATAAGGTTCTTTAAGCCATAGTAAACACAGAAAGCTCTGAATAGATTGATGTTTGCTTTCTGCTTCTTTTACTATATCAGATCATTTTATTTTCATTCCATTTGTGTCATTTGCAGTAAGAGGAGTTATCTTTGATTCCTAATGGTATTCTTGTTCACAGCTTACTATGTTACCTATAGCCAAATTGCATTTCATAAAATCTTCACAACTATCATAGCAAATTTTATCATTCTCATTTTCCAAATGAGGTTGTGGCCCTATGTTTTAAGTAATTTTGTAAGATCCCATGACTATTAAACATCAAAGCTAGGACTTAAGGTCAGCATGGCTCAGCTTATAATCATTCCTTGAATGGCTTCTCATTATATTTAGAAAAAAATCTAAACACTAGCTTAGTTTGGAAATCTCTGATTTGGTCTCCACTTAACTCTCCAACACCATTTCCTCCTTTTGTCCCCTTGTTTGTTAACCTTCTGATACCATGGCCTTCTTTCTTAAATGCCAAACTTGTCCTGCCTTCTAAAGATCTGCACTTTCTTTCTCTCCACTTGGAACACTCTCTTGCATTCTTTGCAGAGTTGCTCTTCATCATTCCATTCTGAAATGAAATGTCACTCTCCTTCTTGGGCCACACTGCTGCAGCAAGACTACTCTTCCATCCTTCCTTGCTACCTAGTTTTATCATCTCAATGCACTTGAACATTCTTAGCATTATTTTTTGTAATCATTTTCTACATCTCACCCATTAATATCAGAGATACATCCTGGAAGCAGATCTGTTGAATGATCTCACTCTCTCCTCAGGGGCTAGAAGTATACCTGGCATTTACTAAGCTTCAGTGTATATCTGTTGATTGGCTATAAAGCCTTAAATAAACATACCTAACATATTTCAAACTTTAATCAATTCTATGACCACTGGACAAATGAGCCATTGTTTCAGTCTTATAAAATATAATTCATTCTTTGCATCCAAAAGGAGGGAATGAAGTCTTAATTTTGAAATATGGCCAGCCACACTGATGAGAGGATAGTTCCTGAAAAGGAGTATTAGTGCATTCAAAGGGACATAAGATTTACAGTTAGACCTAGGATTGAGTCCTAATTCTGTTCTGTAAAAGCTACATGATCACATTTTCAGAGGTTGGGTTTTACATGTGTGAGATCAGTATGATTAACCTACCTCACAATGTTGTTGTATTATGGAGTTGGAGTTTAATATAAAGTTTTACATAAATGTGAAATTATTTTTGTTTCGCTTCAAAAGATACAGGATATATAGCACTCAACTTTTAAAAATAGCCATAAATCTAGAATAAGTCACATAGAATACACTAACATAGGTTTGCCCAAGTTTGAGAAGAAACTTCTCATTAGTTCACCATTAGTGCCATCTGACATTGAAGATGAGATTGGGCTTTAGCAATAGTAGAGGAAAAGAATATGATTTTGATTTCCCCTAGATAATCATATAAGCATATATGTTCATATACTTATAAGTGTATATTTATATAATATGGTTATATTTATAAATATATTTATGTAAATCATATATAGTACCAATTCACATCTTCCTGAGTTTTTCTTTTTGATTTTTGTTTTCTTTTTTTTTGGTGTTAGGAATTGAACCCAGGGTCCTGCACATGCTGAGCACACACTTTATCACTGAACTATACCCCCAGTTCCTCTGAATTCTTATGCGGCACTATTTGATAAGATAAAACTTAAACTGGAAATAAGCTAGGCAAAAAGTTATTCTCCCAGTGGCCTCCCCTTTACAAAGATGTCACATCGCAAAATGAAGACATGCTGCATGAAACACTTGTATCCTCCCCACCCCCAATATTCTCTATCTGCTCAGGAAAAATAGAAAGGCTACAGTTATGTAGATACAGAGCAAGTCTGAACTTAATATGTCTTTGGCGTCACTTTCTGCTTACTTCATCATCAAGCCTCTCTTTCTGAATCTGTTTCTTCGGTAGATGGTGGCCTAGCCAGTCGCTTACAGCAGATTCAAGTGCCTGTGTTAGAAAGAGCGGTCTGCGAACACGTTTACTATTCTGCTCATCCAGGAGGGATCACAGACAGGATGATCTGTGCTGGCTCTGCTGTATCTGGAAGGAAAGATTTCTGCCAGGTGAGAGCATTCTGACTTTGCACAGGAAGACAGAAAGTTTGGCACCTACTCGGAGTCTCCTTAGGCAGGAGGAAAACTGTTGAAGGCACAAGCATCCAACTTCTTACCACATCCCTTCACAAAGGCCAGGAGGGGTGCAGGAAGATTTGTTACTTAATCCTAACAGCCTGCAATGTCAGTGGTAGAAAGCAGCTGTACAACCAGAATGGCCAGTGGTAGATAGGAGCCCATGAGAAGGGAGGGTATGGCAGGACCACTAACCAGGCCTGAAAGTGGGGGAAATGTGAACGTATACATTTAGGGTTTGGGGAACAGGGTGATGAGTGAATAAGGTTTCAAATTAGTATGTCCTACTTAGAACTTTAAAAGTTTTATTGTTATTAATCTTCTATATACTAAATTTTTTATATATGACAACAGAATGCATTACAATTCTTATTACATTTATAGAGCACAATTTTTCGTATCTCTGGTTGTAAAAATAGTATATTCACACCAATTCGTGTCTTCATACCTGTACTTTGGATAATAATGATCATCATATTCCATCATCATTAATTACCCCAAGCCCCCTCCTTCCCCTCCAACCCTCTAAATTTTTAATTGTAGATTAAAATAATCACTAAGAGGAAAATATGAACCTAATGGTAAAAATGGTTTTCATATTCAGTGAAAAGTCACAAGGCAATAGTCTCTTTTCAGTGAGATTATAGAAGCACCAAGCTATACAGATCTATATATGCATGCCACTGGCAAGTTCAGGATCAGCTAAGAAAAAAGAAGCATATGGATGAATACTTTGAGGAATACCAGCTTCAATATTCATAAAGTCAACTGATAAATGTGACTTTAGATACATCACCTTGAAAGAGTTGCTGATACTCTGCATGCCCACCTTTAAACCCTAGTCTGGATTTGGGGGTAGCCCCAATTGAAGGAAAGTTTGTGTCTGTAGGGCAGGCAGATATTTCTCCAGATTTAACACTCATACTGGTCTGTGGTAAAGAGGGAAGAAAAAATGAATCTCTTCTTCTCTGCTTCTTTATAACCCTCCCCACTACTACCACCAGAAATCAGTCAAAATCATAAAAAAATGAATGTCGCTTCTATGGAGAGAAGCTACTGGGCATTCATCAAGGTGGAAGTCCTTCCATATGAAAATATGGAGAGAAAAGGAAGAACCCCCCACTTAACAGGTACTCTCATGGTGTTCATCACCACTTAAATTCTGTTTGTGTTGGTTATCTTAATTCTCAATACCCAGAAGCAGATCCTAAGATGAGTATTCAAGTGTAATGGTTTATTTCAGGAAGTGTAGACATCGCAGAGAGGAAAGTGAGGAGAAGGTACAAGGAAGGGAAGCAGCCAATCAAGGATGAGCACTTACACCAGCTAACGCAGGGAGGGACTAAGCCTTATCCTGCAGGGAAACTGTGCAGTGATGTAGACCATACGTGGTATATTCTCATCTGAGGGGTGAGGAAACTGGGGAATTTACATACTACTTCCCCAAAGTCACAGTTTTAGGACTGCCTGGAAGGAGGCTGTTAATTCCTCATAATTTCCCATACTTCTGGGTGGCCTGAGCGTTGAGGGTGGAGAGTGGGAAAGAGCCTACGGCACAAAGCCAGGACTTGTGTGGGGAGATCTGAGGAACCTGGGAAGGGTACTCCCACTATAGCACATTACTGTTCACCTTAAACAATCAGATAGAAAAGAGCTCTAAATTATTGTGTTCATTCTTCTCCTTGGTATATTGAGATATTTAGGAATGGTTTTTCTGTTTGAATCAAGGAAATCCCAAATGGCTTTATTGTCTGTCATATGTGACAGCATCTAACATTAAGAGACATGTTTATTTTGTGTCAAGAAAGCAAAAAAAAAAAAAAATGAAACAGGTTTAAAGTGGTCCATGTCACAGGTGACCCAAATATCATCATGTCATTTGGCACCTATTATTTAAGCTTCATTCGACTGTCACTTAGTCTGCAGCATGACCAAATTCACTGCCAACATGAAGGAAGAAAAATAAGAGTTGAGATTCTATTAAATATAGCCAGCTATCTTTATAGTAGACACTTGGCTACTGAAGGGTGACTTTAGAAACTCGCTTTGATCAAATGGACTCTAATATTTCTATCATGAAACTGATTTTTACCCTCCTGTGTATGCTCAGAAGTAATGATTCTACTAATGTAATTTCTCATTTAGGAAGGTAAAACTAACAATGTCAGAACATAGAGACTTGGGGCTTTCAGATATGCAATGCAGAATCCTATTCTTTGCTCACTGGGTTTCAAAATTTTTATTTCAAGTTGTTTTGACCTATAAAGCAATAGATGTGTATCTTCACAAAGTGATACGTGACCTGCTCCTGTTTTCTAAGTTTGTTTCATATTTTTCCTTGATAACAGTTTAAGCCACACTGATTATCTTCTAACCTCCCAAATTCCCAAGTCTTAGTTATCTCAGGGCCTTAATCTAGACTTATCTTCTGCATAAAATGCTATTTATTCCTCTGGTCTTTCTTTCTTTCTTTTTTAATCAGAGATTGAACTCAGAAGGGCTTAACCACTGAGCCACATTTAGAGACAGGGTCTTGCTAAGTTGCTAAGGGCCTCACTAAATTGCTGAGGCTGGCTTTGAACTTGTGATCAAAGTTGCCTCAGCCTCCCAAGTCACAGGAATTATAGGTATGGTCCACCGTGCCCACCTCCTCCATGTTTTCAAATTTTGTTCCTTCCTGAATGTATGCATATACATACATGTACATGTAAGGATACATATATACCTACCTTTATTCTCTACCATTCACTCTGAATATTTCCTTTATAACTGCTATTGCCATCTTATTTGTTCATATTCTGTCTTGCTCAGTATGCCTGGTTCACTGTAGGCACTGAATAATTTTTAAATAAAAAGTATCACTTGTTTATGGAATGTGCTAGGCCTTATGATAGATACTATCAATGAAAGATAAATTAGGTAAGTTCCCTATATCATGGAATGTATGTAGCTGCCTGAAAAATTAAAAGTGTTAGTGGTGAAGAATGAATGATTAAAAACAACACCTAACTGGACACATCAGACAATTTTGAAACTGGAAAGATGTCATAAGTATAATTTTACTTTATGAAAAAAATTAAGCCCTAAGAAAATGTTAATTGTTCTGCATTAAACTAGGGGCTCTCCTTATTTCTAATTTAAGGAAGTTTCCTTCTGGGAAGTTTTTCACATAAAATAAACAGATCTCAAATATGTACCTTCAGCTCAAATTCAATTAAATGCAAGATTCAGTTTGGCACTAAATATATTTGGTCCAGTCCCTTTTCTGAAAAATGACTGACTAAAAATATGAAAAAAATGTGTTAAAATAAAAATCTTGTGTTTTAAGGCTTGTTTTTGATGCATCTAATAGAACTTCATCATAAGAAAACATTTATTATGAGACAGGCACTATACATGAATAATGCTTAATGCCTACCCTCACTGGAGCACATGATGTAAACAGAAGTCCTCATAAACAAGTACCTGTGTTGGGCACTGCTATTGTCACACTGAACCAGAAAAGACATGTATGTTGGTGCTAATTAATAGATGAATATGTGTGATATACATACTTGGTGCCATTAATAATACCACTGTTTCTTCCAAATCTTCATTTTTGCTTATTTAATTTAAACAAAACAAATATTTGGGGAAGATTGACTCTTCCATCTGAGTTTTTGATGCAGATTTCTCTTTTGAGATGTGTTCACTCTAATCCTAAGACCAAAGTAGCAATATGTAACAGTAAATAAGAAAAAAAGTTAAATTTTCTTGTGTCTCCTTGATTATAAAACTAGACACTAGAGCTATCTAAGATATCTCCATTAATGAGTATTTATCAACATGGTAGAAAAGAAGGAGCATTGGGCTCTGACAGGTGACGTGGGCTCAGATTCTATTGCCGCCACTACCTATGTGTGTGAATCGGCATAGATCTCTTATTCCTGTAAGTAGGTTTTCACATCTGATATCCTAGTAAGTTTAATTAGTTCAGACCTTAGGATGTCTGAAATTGCATGAATTGAGAATTTGGAGGTAAACCAAAATAAAATTATGATACTGGAATTAGTATGAATGCATATTTTTAATTTTTTTTAGTTGTAAATGAACACAATACCTTTATTTTTATGTGTTGCTGAGGATTGAACACAGTACCTCACACAAGCCAAGTGCTGTATCACTGAGCCACAACCCCAGCCTCAAGAATAACCTTAATAAGTACTAGACAGTCTTTTCACTTTATTCTTTACCTCATCACCAACATCTTCTAGTCTATTTGCATATGTCATAATTATTTTTGATTCATCTGAACAGACTGTATGAATAGAGACCAGTGATAGGGAAACACTACTTACGTAGGTTGCCACCCAATGATCCTAATCCAATTGCCTTAAAGGTACATACATTGGATAGGTTTGAACCACTGTAAAGTTTGCTGATTAAATTTTGATTTTATAAAGATATAGCTTGAAGTCTTGAATATTGTGGTTTTACTAACTGGTGATGTCATTTATAGAAGGCCCTGCTGAGGGGACTGGGAAGATTTAGAAATTGTGTTTTCTAACTTTTTGAACTAGGCTTTGTCTTGACCCTGGAATCAAATGATTTTTTAAAAATTTTCAGTTTCTCATTCTTTGGGTTGTACATGATGTAGAATTACATTGATGTGTAATCATATATGCACATAGAGAGTAATGCCTGATTCATTCTACTACCTTTCCTATTCCCATTCACCTTTGTCTAATCCCAAGTACTTCTATTCTTCCCTAACCCATGCTTATGTGAACTAACATCCACATATCACAGAAAACATTTGGCTTTTGGTTTTTAGGGATTGGCTTATTTCACTTAGCATGATATTCTCCAGTTTCATCCATTTGCCAATAAATGCCATAATTTTATCCTTGATTGTTGAGTAATATTAATATTCCATTGATTTTTTTTTATCTGTTCCCTTTTAAAATGGGAAAAATGCAAATATACAATTAAGGCATAAAAATTGAAAAGGAGCAAGTCATTTTAAAAAATCAAATACATTGGTCATTCCTGTTCTAAAATGTGAAAGCAGGAACTTCAGAATAAAGTGGTTTTCTGGAACATTTTTTCTTATTTCAGGGAGACTCTGGTGGGCCATTAGTATGTAGACATGAAAATAGTCCCTTTGTCCTCTATGGCATCGTCAGTTGGGGAGCTGGCTGCATCCAACCATGGAAGCCAGGTGTATTTGCCAGGGTAAGGGTCTTCTTGGACTGGATCCAATCCAAAATCAAGGGTAAGATTTTTATGTAATTTTTAATTTATATATGACATTAGAATGCATTACAATTCTTATTATATAGAAAGAGCACAATTTTTTATATCTCTGGTTGTATACATAGTATATTCACACCAATTTGTGTCTTCGTACATGTACTTTGGATAGTAATAATCATCACATTTCATCATCATTAATTACCCTATGCCCTCTCCCTTCCCCTCCAACCCCTCTTATATATTATAAAACAATGCTTCTTTCTTATAAGTACTGTGTGCTAACCCATTGTGCCACTGGAGTTCTAGCCTCTTCTTTAGGGTAGGTTTAGGATTGTCAAGTATGGTATAAATGAGTATTAGAGAAAAGAATCATATTTCATTTAGTTTCTAAACATATTAAAATGCAAGATTCTTTAAGAATAACTTCCCCCTTTGTCAAAATTGAGTAAAACTGACTTTTCCTAAGGCTGCTTTAATTCTAGATTTGCATTTTCTTTTTATAGTAGCTGCTTTGGGACTGAGTACATTTTTTCCTCAGGCTTTCATCTTTATTTTTAATGTATTATCCCCAAATACAGGTATTACTTCACTTCAAACAAAAAATAAAAGCAAAACCTTAAGAAAACAATTGCCAACATCCACACTTCCAACAGACAGTGCCTCTGGGCCAGGTAATATGTGTATACATTATCTCATTAATACATCCAGAAAGAATTGAGCAAAAAGCATTATAAACCTGGATTCACTAATTTTTCTTTGGAATGCCACAAACTCTGTAGTTTCTTTCTAGTTGGTAGGAGCCACATTGTTTGGGGATGTTTTCCATCCCACATTATAGTGGTTGCAGGTGATAAATCTTGTAGTTGTGAATAAGTGCTTGAATTTGGGGGAATTGCATAGGATTATTTTAAACTCTGAGACATTTACTCCTACCGTTTAAAGGTCCTTAGACTTCCAGATATCTTTCTTGGTAAACACTGTGTATAAGATTAACAAAATTGGCATCAGAATCTCTCTTGGGCTGGATATATGGCTCATTGGTAGAGTACTTCCCTACTGTGTGTGAGGCCCTGGGTTTGATCTGAGCACTGCAAATAAAAATGATGATAATGATGGTGATGATGATGATGATAATAATACTCTTAATTCTCCTACAATTGCCAGTGTATGTTTGCTACTAGGATTTTTTATTTTAATCAAAAGTTAAGAGTAATCAGAGAATTAGAAGTCTGTAACAGACTTGCATGAAAGTTCTGGGACACTATAGTCTTTTTCACCACTTCTGCCCGACCTCCACATGCACTCCTCCCAAGATGACAACTAGTAGGAGTTGGAAGAAAGTTGAAGAGGATGCAAGACAGAGAAGGTAGAATTGTTAGAGTGCTGCCTTGAGTAGAAGAAAGGGGCTGGGACTTACTTCTTAAAAGGAAGGGTAGTATTGGATAGAAGCAAAGTTCATACAGAGTTGTTGGATAAAAGGCCGGATATTTAAGGCAGTGATGCAGGTGTGCTGGTGTATGGGTGCTTGCAGAAATTCTTTTCTGATTGCTTCTATTTTCTCAGCAGATGATAGAAGGATGTATGTAAGAGGGTTTGATTTAATTTTAAGAGAAAACAGCAAGTATGAAATTTTTCTTTAGAAAAATGATAGTGTTTGGGCTAGAAAGGCGTGCGTGGTAGGGTTGCTGAGCAGCCTGACCTTCCCCAAGGTGAATGATCATGAATTTAGGGAGAGACTTCCCAGTTAGTCTGGATGTATGTTTTCCTCTGAAGACACAGAGGTAGACTCAGAGTGGGTGGATATTATATCATAATGAAGCTTCCCCAAGTATATGAGAATGTAAAGTGTGTGAAGAAGTGATTAAAATGATCATTGAAATTTTTAAAAAGTATTTTTAGTTGTAGACGGACACAATATCTTTATTTATTTTTATGTGGCGCTGAGGATCGAACCCAGTGCCTCACATGTACTAGGCAAATGCTCTATCACTGAGCCACAACCTCAGCTCTGAAATTTAAGATAGGTAAAGAATGAAATATGAATGAGAGATGGGTTTTGGATAAACGAGAGATGAGTTTTGGATAAACAAGAGATAAATTACAAATCTCAAAGGTAGAGTGTTGGGGGGGGGAGCTGAAAAGATGGAAGATTTTGGTTCAAGAGAGTGATACTTTTTTAAAACTTATTTTTTGACCCAAAATGTTAAGATTTTATTTACAATGCATGTTTGTTGTACAGAAAGTAAAAATGCTGTTATAATTTTGGTATAACTGGTAGCCACGGATGGTTGACTTGTCAATCACAGCTATCCATGCTACAGCAAGTCTTACCCCCAAAAAAACCGTAACAATGCTTACAATTTTGTTGGGGCAAAGTCCTTAAGCTTGGTGGATTACCAAGAGGCACTAAAAGGAGGAAGGCAGAATGTCACAGGAACTTCTTTGGCTCTTTGGATGGGTGGGTGTCCAGGGGTTTGTATCACAGCTACCATTTTTTAAAACATCTATCAAATCCATATGCAGTCCAATCTATACTGAACAGTTCTGGTTTTGCAGTTTATCTGGGGTCTTAATCATCTTCTCCTTCATCATCTGTTTCTCTTTCTCTTTTCACCTTTCTCACTTTCTTCCTCTTCATCCTCATCTTCATCTTTATCTACTGCTCCCTCATGCCTAAATTCTTCCTCCCCACTGACTTCATCTTTATTATCTTTCCCTTCTACATTTTCATCTTCATCAAGCTCTTCCTCCTCATCCTTCTCATTTTCCTCGTTTTCATCCTCCTTGTCTTCATCCACACCATCCACCTCCGCATCTAAGTGGGGTTCTTCTCTGTCATCTTTGTTATAGCCTTCCAGGGAGGTCAACAGGGGCAAGAGCCTGAACACACTTGTGGAAGGCTTGGAGTTATTGCTATTGACCAAGTCTCTAGAGGCTGACCATTGGGATGAATGGCCAACGCCAGGTGGAAAATGAGCTCATTGTAGGAAAATTGAGGAATTGGGAAGCTTCACTGCTGGAACCATTGTCTACATAACTACTGAAATCACCAAGAAGTATGACAAAAGTAATGTTGGAGCAAATAACCACTAAATAGTCTAGGAATGAGGAGGAGTGACCCAGGAGCATTTGTCTGGCAATATAGGAGTCAAAGAATGAATGCTTGGAGTGACGCTGATTTGAATTAAAAGTAAATCTAGAATGAAGGCTGAGATGAAGAGAAGACATGGGTCCAAAGTCCTGAAATCTTCAGTTTCAATGATCTGAGTTAAATGAATGATGTCAATGACTACCTAAGTTAATACCTAGAAAATACTTAGAAAGGTGGGGAGGGGGATCTGACTCAAGATAAAGGTCATTAAGTTGTGGTGATGGTTGGCCACAACACCAATGTATTCTTTGAGTTCCATTCAGGCTATTAAAAAATGAATGTTAAAGTAAAGAAGGGGGCTAGGGTTGTGACTCAGTGGTAGAGTGCTTGCCTAGCACACGTGAGGCACTGGGTTCAATACTAAGCACCACATAAAAATGAAATAAAGATTGTGTGCCCACCTACAACTAAAAAATAAATATTAAAAAATGTAAAAAGATATTTCTATGTATGCACAGAAATGCTTATGCATGCCTAAGAACTTTGAATTTTTTATGATAGGGTGTTTGTTTCTTTTCTATGACTATTTTATGAGATAAATGTTAGGATTATGCCATGTTAACCTTCAACCACTACTACCACTTGCTTTTTATACTAGGGAATTAGCAAATTATAGCAATGGTTTTGAGATTGTTATTCTTATTTATAAAAAAGCAGTGACTGGCTGGGAACTCATGACTCTATGTGATTTTTGTACTAACTCACCTTTCTAGGCAGATTTGTCATAGAGGGTCCAGAGAGAGAGAAAAAAAAAATATTGGACAGACCTATTGGATCCAGATTCTGAAACACCGTGAAAGCTGCACTACTTCAGTTGTTTTGCATAGGGAAGGAACTTAATTATTTTGTTTTACTCACCATGCTCAAATTAGAGAGCCTGGTGGAGAAAGAATACAGACAGAGAGATCATTTAGTTTGCTCTTAAAATAGACCTGGAAAATATCTGTTTAATATTTAACAAATAAAAATAATTTACCAAGAAATAACAGGACTAAGCAATGGACTAGAATTCTTAATTTTTTTGCAGGGGAGTATTGGGGATTAAACCCAGGAGGGTCTCAACCACTAAGCCACATCCCCAGCCCTTTTTTGTATATTATTTAGAGATAGGGTCTCACAGTTGCCTAGGGCCTCGCTAAGTTGCAGAGGCTGGCTTTGAACTTGCTATCCTCCTGCCTCAGCCTCCTGAGCCACTGGAATTACAGGCGTGCGCCACCTATCTTGGCTAGAACCCTGAATTCTTGCAGCACTTCATTATCCTTAGGCCACTTATCATATTTAATGTTTATAAAAGTATTTTTATGAATATGCTTCCTTTTACTAGATTAATTTCTGTAGGGCAGAACTTATGAGATAGTGTATGTATTCACTAATCCACATATTAGAATATAAATATATATAGGATATTTCATTTTGTAATTGCTTAGAAAATTTTGTCTGAGGAATAAACATAGGGAAAGAAGGAATAGTCAAGGATGAAGCCTAAATGGGACTATTAGGAGGAAAAGCTGATTGCAAAATCAGTGAACCAGAGCGCTATTGGCACCAAAACTGCAGCAGGTACTCACAGGTCTAAATGTGCCCTTGGACTTAGCAAGTTCTAGAGTGAGAGACCTCCCTTATTTCAGCAAGTTCTCTTTTGCTTGACCTCAGTCACTAGTTCTATGAATGTAATCACTTGCCCCCAAAATACGAATAATTTTCTGAGAAATCTTTTAAAAATTCAGTTAAAATTAATTTAAAATCCACAATTACATTTCAAGAAAATAGAACAAACTTAATGGAATGATCATTTTCTTTACAAGTTCTTGTCAACATGTAACTGATGGGAATAAAGTTTTATTTTCTTCTTGCAAGCCTGGGTCTTTCAAGTTTGTGGTAGAACCTTGTTTCTCTTTCCCTCGTCTTTGTTGGTCCCTAACGTCCATATGTTCTGAATTGCAGCTTCTGAAGTGAAGCTAGAAGAGCTCAGAGCCTTTTTTTCAACTCCAAGATATCCACTGCATTATAGACGAAATCTGGAAAGTCCCTAGGTGCTCAGAGTGGCACCAAAGAGTATGATAAAGTTTCCTGTTGTGTGTCTATCATTCCTTGGATCTCATATGTAGAGATTTGATTCTGATTATTTATGAAACCAAGTTGAGAGAAAGATAGCAAGTAATCCTTCCTGGCATTCAAACTCTGTACAAGAAGCTTTTTCTGTGTAGGCAGCTTATGATCAAGAGTGAGTTTTGACTTGGGGAATAATACCACATCTACATTAATTCATGTAAAATAGGAGTACTTTTTTTCTTCTAAATACCCTTATTTTTTTTTCCAAAATGTGAATTTACAAAGAGGACGGGGAGAGATACAGATGCCAAACTTCTTCAACACACCAGGACCCTGCCAGAAGAGAATATATAGTGGAAGAGAAGTTCAAAAGACTTTTAAAAGAAAAAAAGGAGATTCAAGGGTAGGAGAGATGAATGAATGAAAACATTAAAGCAAATGATGTTAAATATTTTTTAAATAGAAGGATTAAAAACATTGGCTAATAATATCTCATTTTTCATTTTATGTAGTGACAAATTTTTGTGTTTCAATAAAGCAAACATTCCTCCTCCTGTATATATGGATGTTGTGAAAACTTTTTGGCTTTCAGTTAGGAGAGAAGTAGGAAGGCAGTTAAAATAATTTGGTTAATGTAGGAACATAGAATAAGTTTTCATTTATCGAAGAAAACTAGAAGACTTTTTGCTTCTCTTAATTCTTGACTTGGAGTGCTGTCTTCTTAATAAGATCTACCTTGACAGATGTAAATGGTACCATCCCTGCCTCCATAATTATTGGTCCCCTTATCTTAGCACTTACTGTCCTCTGATACATCATGATTGTTTCTCATGGTTGTGGTTTGTCTGTCTTGCCTAGTGAATGCAAGCTTCATGAGTGCTAGAACTTCTGTCTCTTCACTTCCAGAAGCCTCAGTTCATAGATCAATGCCTAAAACACAGAAAGCACTAATTATTCAGTGAAGGAATAGTCACTCTTCAAAGAATCCTTTCTAATTCAAAGTAGCATCATCCATTCCTTCCCATAGTCATTGTTTGTTATGCTGATTACATCATCTGTGGCCTTGGTCTGTCTCTGAAATAATTTATCTGAGTAAAGTGAAAAATTTGTGAAAGTAATACTTTTCTCTTGATCTCTTTTGTATACCTCGAAGTGAATATAGTGCCTAAGGACTTAGGAACATTTTTTTTGTATGACTTTTTTTTTTTTGCCAGGTTTCCTTTTCTGTGCATTGTTTTTTGCTGAATTGCTCTTCAGAATGATGAACAGGTTCACTGTTATTAGCAGTGCATGGGATTCATTTCAACATGCATAGAACCTCATTATGCCAATTTAAAGGCAGTTTTATTTTTTAATTAATATGGATAAAGTTTTCTAAATGTTGGTTAGCTATTATAATTTTTATGAATTTCCATTACTCTTTGTCCATTTTTAAAATTTGAATATTGTTTATAAAGTTTTACAGGAACTTCAGATACAGAAGTAATTTTCCTTTGTCATAAATTGCCACAGTCTGGCTGGGCACAAATCACAAGCCACTGAAGCAGGAACAAACTTTATTTCTGAACTCCACCAGCACACTCCACACACGCTCCCCGGGAACTATCCCGAACCCCACGCGGCTCATCCAGGAACCAGCCACCGGAAATATCTCCTCCGGGAATCCCTATGAGAACTCCAAAGGAGCGGCTGAGGCAGATAGTAATGCCTCGCCTGTCAACCAATACTATTGGCAAAATGCCAGGGGCCATTCCGACTCAGCTGTGGCTCTCAGCAATAAGTTACAAGTGTTTAGCCTTATTGTTGCTATTTGTTTTTAAATTTTATATTGATATAAAAATTATTAAATTTACTTATTTAAATCTATTTACACATGTCTTGGATCTTTGATTTATCCCATCACCTTTAGGTTTGAAATTTTTCCATTTTATGTCAGAAGAATCTTTTTAATTAAAAAGAACTTGCCTCTTGCATCCTGCTGCAGTGTTTTCTCATGTGGTAGAGTGATTCTGTACTTATCTCTTTCTTAGAATTATTTTCTTCCTAATTTATAGCTCTGTCTCTATAATATATTCATTTCTTTATATAGAAAGATATTTCCTGGGGAAGCATTATCACCTTTCAAAATCATTAGCCTTTGTTATAGGTTTTTGAGGAATCCCTGTAATTTTCCAACCAAGCATTTCTGTGATGTAGAATTGTCAGCTAGAATCTTCTGGAATTGTTCTTTCTCTTTAGATTATAGATGTCAAAGCCATAAGACTAATGAAAATATTACTCCTTCCTTGATTGAATGGTATTCTATACTGTCAAATGCTATGTTTCTCCTTGTGAGAGCTACCAATACATTCAAGAATTATATTCATCTCTCCTTGGTGCAAATAAATACGTGAACATTCCTCAGATATTTTAACATCATTCGCCCTAATATGCTAACTAATGTGTTTTCTTCTTTTGCCTTTGAATATGATTCCCTTCCTCCCTGCAAATGTTTGTGGAGCACCTAATTGAACCAGGTCCTGGAGGATCTAGTAGTGACCCAAATTGATAAAAATCCCTACCCTCATGAAACTCATTCTAATATGGAGGGACACATAATAAGGTAAAATATATATTAGATGGAAAGTTTAAGGGAGGGGGGAATGAACATGGTAAAAGGATAAAGAAGCATCTGGATTAAATGCCATATAGCTCAAAGTACTATAATCAGTGAATATTTTTCTGTTATCAGTGAATATCATTTCAAAACTTTTAGATAACACCTAAAGGTTTTGAAATGATAAATCATTCCCAATAGTAGAGGCATGTTATTCTAAATGACTCCCAAGTTTTTTCTATACCATCTTAAAAAGTACTTTGAATTGTTTTAGAATTATAATTTTCCCTCTCATCTCATAGTTTCTCCAAGTAAAGCAACCAGTAGAAGATTGACAGTAGGGAAAGGAAAACTTTCAGGTAGGAAAAACTTTGTTCCTTTTTGGATCTTTGTAATGACATTTTTTAATAATTAGGTTATTTTCTGGGATAAAAATGACACATTTGTGTCATTTTAAAGATAAAATAACTTATAATTATCCTTCAAGGGGAACCTGGTAACATAATAGACTATGGAGTGTAGGGGAGTATTAGAATCATAGACCCAGGTTGAGATCCTGGCTCTCTACTCCACCAGTCTGACTTCTGAGGAAGTCACTTGAGTTTTACAGCTGTATTTCCTCATCTCACAGAATGGAGTACATTCCTGTCTCATGATTTAAATTAATTGCTGTACCTAAAGTATAGAAACTACTAAAAAAAATCCAACTTTCCTTGAATTGACTACTTAAAAACAAACAGGTGAACTACATCAAGGAAGACTTTACTTAATAATTTTCACATGCTCTGGACCATGTCGGGTGACGTTCTGTTCCCTTTTAAACAAGTTGCTTTAGCATAAGCTATATTGTTTTCAGAATCCAAGATATGTTTGTTCATTTTAGCAGTAATTGTAGGGGATGAATTTGTTAGGAAAATCTACTTAAGCCATCTGAGATTTGGTCAGGTCTAAAAGAGAAACTGGTCAGTGAATCATGATTGATTTGTAAATCATCAAGAATGATAAATTCCTTTGGGTGTTCAGTTTCATGCTTGCGTAGCATGTGCAAGGCCCTAGATTTAACACCTAGCACCCCCTGCTGCCAAAAGATATAAGTACATATAATACTGTGTGTGAGTATATATGTGTAAGTATAAATCATATTTATTTTCAAACATGGCTAAGATAGTTGATTGCAAGTTAATATTTTTGACCATGATTGTGATTTTTTTAATACCACAGAGAGCTTTTTCTGCAGCTATGTTTCTTGTGGATTCAGAAATTTGGGTTCTAAATATTAGCTGTTTGATTACCTCTGGACAATTTATTATCACTGTATCAGTTTTCTTTATAGTGTTATAAAAACAATAGTTTAAAATAATGTTAACTATGTAATTCAGAGTTGTTATATTATACTGTAGAAGTTAACTAGTGAGACTTTTTCCCTATATTTTTAAATTGGTGACTTATAGTTTTACATGATGGTGGGATTTGTTGCAAATTCATACATGGAAGCAATATAACAGTATAATTTGGCAAATATCCTATCCAAAATTTCTCCTTTTCCTCCCCTCAAGTGAGGCTTTTAATTCTGGGTGAATGCAAACAAGAGAATATATTTTTCTAGGCCTGAGTGTATTGCACATTTGGGAAAATTGTTAAATGAATAATAAAAGCATATCATATTAAAGTTTTCTCTTGAGCTATAATAAGAATATGACTTTCAGATGGAATTGGGCAATCAATAGGCATTATTGACTTATTTCATATAATCCTCCATAGACTCTAGATAATTTTGATACATTAAATGTTTAAAATCAGGAGGCTTTTCAGTGAAACCAACCTTTGGATAATTACTTTTTCCCGTAAGACAATTAAGGAAGAAAGCTGATTGATCTGAAAAGACATATAGCAAACCTGTTTAAAATAACTAGTTTTATTCTCATTCCTTCTACTTCATTTTTATCTAGGTTCAAAGGGTAGTGAAATAACCAGAATTCAAACCAAGAGCCCACAGTCGCTTGTGAGGATATTCTTAAAAAGCTCTCAGGATACAGATCTTAAAAAGCTCTCAGGATACAGATCCCAAGATATTCTCACAGGATGATTATGAGGTAAAGAAAGGAATGTTTATTATAATGGAAGATGTATATGGACTGTACTTGACTAACATCAACAGTGGTATTTGCTTAAATCATTATTCTCCATCTTCTCAAACAACATACTCCTAGGAAACCCTGGATCAATTGCTTTTAACATGAAAACAACAACAAAAGACTGTTTCTGTAAATAAATTGTGCTTTCTCCACAAAAGAGACAACTTATTAGGCAAAATGGAAAGTCAAGTGTCTCTGTCAAAGCATTGTGGAGATGGAAATAATGTGTAAAATATTCTGGAATACAGTAGGTATTCAGTAAATTGTTCCTAAATTCCCACAATATAAAGAAATTCCCTTGAATTAAGAAATATAATACCTTTAAAATGAGAAATTAAAAGTGAAGATCTGTATAATATTGATCCTAAGTC